AAAGAAGCTAAAGCCTTTTCAAACTCTTATCATTCACTCGCCAAATTTCAATTTTTTAGAAAATGCTTGATTATCTAAATAATAGAAATTCGATTCTATTTCCAGCACAAAATCGAAACTTGAATTGGCATGCTTTATTTTCAAGAAAGTGGAAATTGATCGTTGAATTTGTATGGGCACTTCTAGAATATCCTTTACAGATTTGTACAAGCACTCTCGGTTTTACAGTGTAGGTTCCTTAGTGTATCAGAAATGGGTTTTTGTTAAATGTTGAGATCATCGAGGGACAAAAGAGAGTCAATGTGGATAGCCCAAAAAAGATTCGAGGTGATAAAATCTTGCCAAAAATATTAAGCAATCGGTGGCTGTTATTTTGGAAGATTTCATAATTTCAGTAATTGATAACATACACTCACTTTTTTCTAGTTTCCTCCACCCGATTTCTCATCACTGGGTCAAATTACGATGGACAACGAACAGCCCAGTACAGATCTTGAGATAATGATTCATCGAATTTGGTGTAACTTACTCCATCTTAATCAAGTGTCAATTAATGCTGATTTATTTTCTTTGGGTGGGAATTCTCTTCAACTCATGCAACTAATCGGTCAATATGATGTAACCTTCGAATTTAAACAACGCACATTAAATATAAGTGATTTCTTGAAAAATCGGACAATAGCTGAACATGTGCGCATTCTTGAAGCACATGTAAATAGTTCTCTTGCCGGACCATATCAGAAATCATCAGACTGGTCAACGTCTCATCGAACAGAAGGTAGGGAAAAAGTTGTTGGGATACGATGAATGGTATTTCTGTCGATTGAAGGTCCTGCGTCGTATGCTCAAGAACGAATTTGGTTGGATGAACAAGTTCGATTCGATCAACAGAAAGCGCCGATCGCCATGTACAATGTTCCTTTTGTTTTTAAGTTGGAATCCGGTCAATTATCTATTCAACGTCTTCGTCAAGCTCTTAGCCTTGTCATCAGCAAACATCATACCTTGCGAACAATGCTACAGTTTCATGATGATTGTCTTTGGCAACGTATTCTTCCAGTTGCTGAGCAAAATTTCGAATTCAATGAAAGCTTTATATTGAACGATGAAGAACTCACAGCAATAATTATCAATGAAGAAATAAATCGATCTCTTTTTGATACTGAACAAGGACGTAATGTCCGTCTGCACATCGTGCGACGACATAGTGATAACGAAAAGAAAGATAAACTTGTATCAAATGACATCATTATTTTAAATTTTCATCATTCAGCTTTTGATGGATCCTCAATCAAACCTTTCTTTACAGACTTTGCCAATGCTTATCGTAATCAAGAACTGGCACCGTTCGATTCGAATACAATGACCTATCTCGATTATGTTTCATACGAACGTTCACTCGATTTCACGCAGAGCAAACAATTTTGGGAAAAAACTTTGTATGGCTATGACTTTACAAAGCATATTGCTCTCCCTTATGATCATCCAGAATGTCTGGCTTTTCCTCGTTCTGGTCGTGGAGAAACTCTTTCTTTTGAGCTGAACACACAGTTAGTACATTCGATAATGCACTTTTCAAGTGAAACAAACGTTTCCTTGTATCAAGTATTTCTTGCCAGTTATTTCGTCTACTTGTTTAAATTGACTCAGAATGAATCAGACTTGTATGTGCTTAGTGTTTTTGCCAATCGACTTCGTCATGAATTTCATTCGCTGGTCGGTATGTTCGTCAACACAATACCTTATCGTTTACAGCTCGATCCTCAATGCTCATTCAATGAGTTTGTTATTACTGTTCAAAATTTTCTAATCAAAGCCCTTGTACATTCTCAATTACCTTATCAACAAATAGTATCACCGAACTCGATCGCTGCCAATACATTATTCCTATTCGAAACAAACGAAGAATATATCGCAAGTGATATCATGTCAACAATTGACAATGTTCGTTTCAGTTATGCTGGTGCAGAAAATGGCAACCGTAGCCGAGTGGCCACATTTGATCTCACTCTTGCTATTCAATACGATTCAAACAGCAAACATATGAAACTCTTATTTAATTACTCTAAAGATCTTTTCGAAGAATGTACGATAAATACAATGGCACAACGTTTTCATATTCTTTTACGACAACTGTTTGAACAAAACACTAGACGACAACAACCAATCTTTAGTGCCTCATTGTTGTTACCTAACGAGATGAAGCTTCAACAAGCACTCAACGATACTAAATTAGAATACCAGGAGGACAACGAACAACAAAGGGTGAGAGGCACTATTGGCCAATGTTTTAGTCAACAAGCTGCCAATTTGTCACAAAAAGTGGCCATCGAACTCGATGAGCAGTCTCTCACCTACAGTGAACTTTTATATTATGCACAACAGCTTGCCCTTCATTTAATGATCAACTATGATCTCAGGTCCGGTGACATCGTTTGTCAATGTATGAAACGCAGTCTATCGATGGTGAGTTCGTCTGAAACGAATGCTTGATTTTCTTTGTGTATCCTTCCATAGGTCATTGGTATCTTGTCCATCGAAATGGCTGGCGGTGTCTATTGTCCGCTATCACCTCTAGATCCTGAACAACGATTGCGTGCACTCATCGAACAGACGCAATACCGTGTTGTCCTCGTTCATTGGATGACGCGAGACAAGTTCAGAAACGATGATGTCACATTAGATATCGATGCAGTACTAAACGCCAGCACAACAACAAATAACAATGATCTCGACCAGCTTTCATGCATCACAATAACACCCGAAAGCATCGCTTATATTATCTTTACTAGTGGTTCAATGGGCACACCAAAAGCGGTAAGTTCCCAACTCGGCTTTGGAACAGTAAACTATCAATATTGCTTTCATTACAGGTTCAAGTACGGCACAGAAATTTCATGGAGTGCATTCGATCTCTTGTTCATGTTGGCACGTTCAGTGAGATGAATACAATTGTACAGATGGCTCGTTGCTCCTTCGATATCCATATACAAGACATTGTTGGAACATTGATTGTCGGCGCTACATTAGTCATGCTTCACCCGAAAGGAAACATGCACTATGAGTACCTGGCTCATGTACTCAGAGACAAGCAGGTTACCCACATGCACGCTGTCCCAACCGTGTTCCAGAGCTTTTTTGAATATATCAAAGAAAACAACCATTTCTCTGCTGTAGCTTTTCTGCAATCAGTTTGTAGTGGCGGTGAGTTTTTCATGTTAACGAAAATAGATATAGTTTGCTTTTACTTATCAACGTTAGGTGAATCACTGTCAGTCAAGCTGCTCAACCTACTGAAAGATATTGTAGCACCAACATGTCGAATATGGAATTTGTATGGACCTGCAGAGACGACCATGGATTGCACATTTCATCTTGTTGATCGTATGGTGACTTACACAAGTGTTTCAATCGGACGACCACTTCCTAATTACCAATGTCGCATTTTCGATGAATTCTCACAACCCGTTCATGTCGGTCAAGAGGGTGAGCTACTCGTGGGTGGTGTGGGTGTCTTTGCTGGTTACCTCAACCGCGAAGATTTAACGGTGAAGGTGTTGGTCAACATCGATGGTCAGATGTTCTATCGAACAGGTGACCTTGTTTGGATGGACAGTCATGGTCTAATCCATTACATTGGTCGTAAAGATCACCAAGTGAAGCTAAGAGGACAGCGCATTGAACTGGAAGAGATCGAACGATGCTTGCTCGACACTTCGATTTCTGCATGTGTCGTCATCCTATGGGGCGATGATCATTTGATCGCCTATGTGCAAAGTCAGGATATCGACGTAGAGAAACTGCGCGTGCACTGTCAGTCTCGCTTACCTCCATTCATGGTTCCATCGATGTTCATCGTGCTTGAGAAATTACCATTGAATACAAACGGAAAAGTTGATCGCAAGGCATTGCCAAAACCCAATTTTAATGCAATGATAAACAATGACAAGGATTCTCACTCACATCCAGCTACAGAGCTCGAAGCAGAACTTCAGAATATTTTCGTAGAAGCATTTCATTTCTTGTCATTACCTGATGTCAATATTTCATTCGGTAGATTAGGCGGTACATCACTCGGAGCTATGCGAGCTCTATTATTGATTCGACAAAATATTTACTCTAAAATTAACGCTAATCTTTTATTTGCAAATCCATCTGTTCGACAGCTTGCTAAACTCCTTCAGCCACTAATTATCGACAACAAGCTTGACACAGATATACAACCGATTGAAAACAACGAGAAAAAAACCTCTCGTCTGATGCCATCAATTATTACTGAAACTATTGGTATTCTTTTTCTTGTCAGCCTTTGGATCTTACCAATTATCATAATCATATCTTATTCTTCGATAATATTTTTATGCATCATTCCTTTAATTCATTTAATCAGCTATGTACTGTGTAAACGACTGCTATTTCCATTGGAAATGTCGCAAATGCAAGATGCACTCTTTTCCTCTAACTACTATCGTTGGTGGTTTCTGCAACGTATATGGACTTTGAACACTTTTTGGCTAAGCCATATTCAGGGTACATCATTTTACAACTCATATCTGCGGCTGTGTGGGGCTCATATCGGTCGGCATACGATCATTGACACGACATTTATCGATGCGCCTGATCTTCTCCAGATTGACAATTCTACTTATATTGGTGATGAAGCTGTTCTCTCTTCCCTCACCTATCACGATCGAATATTTGAACTCCATCAAATCCACATTGGCTCGAATTGTTCAATTGATTGTCGAGCAGTTCTCTACAATGGAGTTGAAATGGAAGAACGAATCCTAGTCAAACCCATGTCGCCAGTTACTGGTTATGTTTTAAGTGGATCAATTGTGGATGGCCAATCGAAACAAATTGACAACGAACAGCCCAAATCGCAGAACATTAATAATGCTCTATCCAAATCACAAAAAGTTTTCCAACTTGTATCAATTTTAATCATGCTTTCTCTTCATATCTCCATTCTCACATTCACATACTGGTGTTTGCCAACGATGATACCACTATTTCTTCGACTAGCCATCGTATGGCTTGCTTGGTCTACCGGTCGCATGCTTCCATGCATTGTTCTTCTCAAACTCATCGTTGGCGCAGCACAGCCGGGAACATATTCATTGAATTCATGGTATTTTTTGCGTAAATTCTGGCTTCGTCAACTTGTCGTCCGATCATTAGCATTCTCATTTGTATCCAATTTCGGTTTCTATCATACACTATTTCCTCGTCTTTTGCAATGGCTAGGTGTTCGAATCGACGAAACGAATGATATTCGTATTTCTCAAGCTCATTTTCTACTTGCTTTCCCAACGAATCTCGTTCAGCTTGAACCAGGCAGCACAGTGAACGGATTCGCATTATTTATTCCATTCACTGTGACGAGAGATGGTCAATGTAAAGTCAATCATATTCGAATCGGACGCAATGCTCAACTTGGAAATCATTGCACTATTCAGCCCGGTGCGAATATCGCTGAGCGAACGCTTGTTGGAACAATGACGCGCATCGATGAAGAGACGAGCACTACGATTAATGATGATGATAGCTCTGGCAGTATTGTACTTGGAATTCCAGGTCGGTTGATGCCATTTCAACGAGACACTCCAGTTCCAGTGTCAACAAATAAACTTTCACCATACATGTACTCCGAATTAGTATGTGCTATCTGTGTTCAATTTCTTATCAAAGTAATTATTTCATTTCTGTTTATCCATTCGTACTTTCTTCTACAGATCTATTTTCTTCTTGTGGAACATTTTATTTCGTTCTTTTTCTTTGCCCTACCACGTGAAATTCGTTCGATTGATCGTATCAATCACTGGCAATATCAATCGAGTGCAATTTTGACACTCGATTTTTATACTTTTATTGCGCCACTTCTAGGTGGAACACAATGGTTGATCATTCTTTTGCGTCGTCTCAAGGCGAACATTGGTCGAGATGTAATTATCGGTGAGATGAATGCAGTTGAAGATTGGAAACATGTCACTATTGGATCACATGTTCGTTTAAGCACAACAGCCAAAATTCAGGTGAGAGACACTTAATATTCTTTATAATATCATCGATATCTATTATTTTACGAATTTATAGTGTCACACAGATGAAGGTCGAATACATCAGTTAGCTCCTGTCACTATTGGGCCCTATTCGCGTCTGTTCCATTGGGCATTCGTTTTTCCAGGAGCACATGCCCAGGGCAACAACACAATTCATCCGTTAACACTCATTATGAAAGATGATCAATTACCGAAGAATACAGAATGGAGAGGCTGTCCAGCAACATGATCAAATTTTTCATATGAACAACTTAAAATAATGTTTCTTTTGACACTCCTAAAGAAGCTCAATTTTTTACATTCGATTGTCATTCTTAAATTGACTTGTGTATGTTTGATATTAATAACTTATTTTTATTCATCCAATAAAATGCTCTATACGTGTTAAATCAAGCTTCTTTTTGCAAACCGTTTCGATACACATATCTCATGCTATCCTGACCTACATCCTAGGGGTGGGGTGTGGATGTGGGTGTGGATATGGGTGTGGATGTGAGAGTGGGTGTGGGTATGGGTGTGAGTGTAGATGTGGATGTGAGTATTGGTATAGCTGACTTGACCCACACTCATACCCACACCCACACTCACACCCACACCCACACTCACACCCACACCCACCCACACCCACACCCTCCATGCGAAAGTAAACGTCAAAAAAGCCCTGTTTCTTCATTGCAGTGTGCATTTGATCAGAGTTGCGGGTGTTGGGGTGGGTACCAGAAAGAAATACATCCAATCCAATCCAACCCACACCCACACTTTCTACTTATATAAAGATTTTTGTCTTTTATTGAACAAATAAAACTTGTGCTAGCATGAAAAGGTGAATTTAAATCTAGTCAAAGCATCAAGAGATTCGAAAAAATGACTTTTATTATTCACGCTGATAATCTAAAAGTAGAACGGAGGCAATACCATTTGGCAAATTTAAGTACACTGTGCTTTTTTTTGAACTTTGGGATTTAATTTAAAGAAATAGTGGGTATTCGAATGAAACACATCAGTTATACTAGGATTAAATTAGTTGGCAAAGTACTATATCTTCGAGCTCAGCGCTACAACACTCTGCTCAACATTACGTCGTCATGCTCGACGCTAGCACACTCCACTCAGCACTATGTCGTCCAGCTCGACAGCACAACAGCTGGCCTCTTCTTTAAAATACTAGGTTTAGGATGTGAATGTGGGTGGATGTACGTGTGAGTGTAAGTATGGGTGTGAGTGTGGGTGTGGGTGTGGGATGCGGGACGTGGGCATGGGGTGTGGTGTGCGTGAGTGTGGGTGTGGGTAGCTGTAAGCACCTGAAGAGAGAATCCATACCCGCAGTCATATCCAGATGGCAACAGAGATGCCGGTGGTTATTTCTCCTTTTCTCTCTTTATTAGTCGTACCAGATATTTTCTTTCAAGCTTCGTTATGTCTACATGCCAGAAAAAAAGGTGATATACTGGCGTGAAAATAAAAGCGATTTTTCGGCGAATGAATGGACTAGTTGAAACAGAACGAGAATAAATTTTTTCTCCGAAGGGTCGAATGTGAAAAAAAAAGCTGTTACAAAAATACTATCGGTTGTTGGGAGCGCTGCAAACGTTGCATTCCAGCACTTCTTTGCTAGTTTATCGTGAACTTTTGGGGTGTGTGTTGATGTCAGGTGTGAGTGTAGATGTGGGTGTGAGTGTATGAATGTGGATGTGAGTGTGTGAATGTGGGTGGCTGTGGATATATTGTTTGCTTCCTTGGTTTCTTTCACACTAGCACCCACACCCACACCTACTAGTTATGCACCACTTCCAGTCCTGACTAGTACCCAGTTAACTGGAACTGGTGCATATCAAACATCTACATCCATGTCCTCGTTGCTTTGTGCTTAAGAATGGCAGCATAAGATAAATTTCAGTTTCATCCGATTCTATATTCATTTTTGCTATCTGATTATTTTCGGGCGCTTTTTTTTCTTTTCTAATATCAATGTAAAATGCTAATATAAAGCATTTCTTTCACACATACACCTGGATAAGGGGAATCTGTAAGGCATAAAAAAAGACATTACCGTTCTTAAATACAGAACGAAAATAAGTCAAAAAAATCAGTCACAACTATTTGTCTTTCATCGAAATATATTTACTCTGATGGTTGTCAATTGTCGTATAACTAACGTAAAATACAACCGTATCTTTCAGTCTGCTTTGGTTTCTGGCATAAATTCAATTCCGTTTTGCATGGCAACTACTGACACATATGAATATATGAATGAAGACTCAATTCATGAAGATCTCCTATGTCCTATATGCACTGGCCCGCTTGAAGATTCTCTCTGTGCTACTGAATGTGGACATGTATTTTGTCGTAAATGTATCACTGATATCTTTCATGATATGTCCAAATGTCCAACATGCCGTCATGATTTGACACTCGAAGATTTTCATCCTGTCACCATACGTACTTTTCTCAATCAACTAAATTAATTACTTGTCAAATGCAAATCATGCTCTCAAATTAATATTCAGCGACGTAATTTCAAAGATCATATTGCAAACTGTGTGGAAGAAATGATATCATGTCCAGCAGTCATCAACATTAAATGTGATTGGAAGGGAGAACACGACAAAATGCAAGATCACATTAGTATATGTCCATTAATAAAATTTCAACCGATGATAGCTGAACTCAACACATTAGTTAAAAACAATCCAAACAAATACGTTTTCTTTATACAATACTGTATAAGATATCGAAAAATCACAAAACAACATGAGGGTGTGGGTGGGTGTGTGAGTGTGTGGGTATGGATGTGAGTGTAGGAAACGATAACTCCGTTGTACATCCACACTCACAAGCACCCACACCCACACCCACACCCTAACTTCCTCATGACCCGTGCTATAGAGCTCGGGATGGTTTCAAATTAAAGGTAATGTCAGTAAGCAACTTTTGTCCGAACAGACTTTTAAATTCCATCTTATTGATTGTTTATGACGATTTTAGTGGAAGGTGTAAAAATCAGCATAACAAATGGTGATACAACGACAGTAAATTCCACTTTTCGCATCGCAGGAATCGACTTTAAAAAACCTGGTTGGCAAAAGTGTACTCTCATTGAGACCTTTAAAACAAAAAAAAATATTGGATATAGCTCGAGCCGAACGGGAGTTATTTCAATTTTCCTCTCTGGAAACCGTATTTTGAGAAAAACGCTAAAGAAATTTTAGAACTGGATTTTTTCACTCAAATTCAAAAACAATCATATTACAATGATATATTATTGATTCATTCCAGTGGATCGTTTTAAAGCACGTAAGAGATGAAGGTAGCTAACGCCATCTGTTATGCTGGGTAATATAAAAATGTTCTACTCAATGCTAATGCAAGTGGCAACGCATTTTGTCCAAAACTGAAAACCTTTAAAAACCACGAAAATTTCTCGGAAAATATGGTGGGAGGCTCCAAGTTTCATGTGATAAGTCTTTGAAAATCTGATCATTTTCCAAAAAGCCATACATATTCTGAGGAAGGAAGCTTCGTTGCACCTTCCTATGATAAAAACTCAACTTCGATATTTCTTTGAAAAATTGGATTTTCTAAGGGCGGGGGGAGAGAGCTTAAGAAAAAAAAGCTGAAAAGAAGTTCATATTAAGTTACTTTTGGGCCATTCCGCTGTTCTGTTTGTCCTATCTTCTACCTCAATAAATGCAATCTTTCGGAGAGGCTCATGCTTTTATTTATTGAGTGCTTTATATGAAAAGAAAAGGATTGTGAGCCAAAAGTCATGAAAAACAAAATACACATTCTCTATAATGAATAATTTAGACCAGTGGATAGCTCGACATGGTAGCAATACCACATTGATTGTTCTTGTTGCGGCTCATCCAGATGTAACCTTGGTTACCCCATGAAGTACCCCACGAATTCTTAACAATATAGTAATCTTGACTGGTTACCGTGGTGTCATAACCGACAGCCAATACACCATGATCGAGTTGAACTGGTGAGCACATTGGTTCATTGTAAACACCAGAGCGGTAGAATTGAAACGAGCCGTGTGAGGCATCAATGGCAATGGAAATAGGACCAACAGTAGCAATGGCAAGTTGGAGATCGGTTTCGTTCTTCGATTTGATATCGACGAAGCCCTATAACATGTCAATGATGCAAAATATTTTCATGCATAAATATCAAAGTAGGAACTCACAGTGTCAGTGGCACCAACATCCGCGGCCTTGAAACGACATGTGTTATCACGAGCTTCATAGGGATAGCTCGGTTCGGTATCAATACCCTTGTTTGCCTTAATGTATTGAAAGGCCGAGTCCATCAAGCCACCGCGGCATCCAAAGTTGCCAAAGGAGCCTGAACAATCGACTAAATTTTGTTCTGAGAGTGACACAAGTTGTTTCGTCTGGGCAAAGTGTTGGCCTTCGAGTGAGCCAGTGGCTGAGAAAGCCCAGCACGAACCACATTGACCTTGATCCTTGACGGGGGTGACATAGCCCTTTGTACGCCAGTCTACATGGACGTGTATGCGTAGTACGCTGGCAAAATTGGATCGAAGATCTACTTACCCACAGAGGCTGGAAGAACAACGTTCGATGGAGCCAAATATGTATGACGATCGAATTTGTTCGTATCAGTATTAACCGTCACTTTCAAGCCATTCATTTGCTTCTTGAATTCTTCATGAGTCTTTAAAAAGTATAGAAAAAAATGTCAATCAGATCTCCTTTTCAAGCGTATAAGGAACTGACCAAGTCACCGTATTTGTTCATTCCCATAGTATATGTGTGCATACCAAGATCAGCTTCAAGATTATGTTGCTGGATTTTAGCAAGGTTAGTTTCCCAGATGTGTCGACTATCGAAAGGTAACCAAAGATCATCGTAGCGAACATAATATACAAATATTAGTGTTTCTTACCGATTAAGCTCTTCCTCGAAAGATGAGTATCGTTTTTCGTGAACTCGTTTGAAGAGTTCCCATGAGCTACCCAACTGATCGTCGAGCATGGGCGCACAATAGGCGCCTACAAAGAGGACACAGACAGCAATGAAAGCCTTCATTATTCTAGTTTTTTCGATGAGTTTGTTCGTGGATTGATATAAAACTAAATGTTCTGCACAAGCGTAAACTATAGCTTAAATACTATCTAGAATTTTCATCTTGTCATTCTAACCATAGAAGATAACGTTAAAGTTGTCTCAGCATTCTAGAAGAGCGAGCAAACTTGTTTCACAA